GGCGGGCCAATCCAGCCAGTAAACTGCCATTTTTTGTAGATAGACCACCGCTCCAAATACCAATGAGTTGACGCAACCCATCTGCTACTGAATATTCTACAGCTAAGTAACGGTCGTCTGGAGATACCTTAATTTTGGTAACCCTTAATCTGGTGCTAGTGCGAGCCAGAAGGTCCAGTGTGTCGGATTCCCAGTTTAGATAAGGTGAGACGAAAGAATTTGTACTAAATCTTCGAGCCAAATCTTCAAAGCTTTCATCCCTATCACAGCATAAAAGTCCCATAAGTCCTTTATCCAGGCGGTATTCCACCGATGGGTGCAGCATGGTTGACGCTTCTTTTAGCAACTGCAAAAGGAAGGTGAATAGAGCATTAAAGCACTTAATTGATTGCTCTCTGCTTAATGAACTCATAACTCTACAGAAAACAAAGAAAATTTGATGCCATAAATGAAATTTAATTTGTTCCATACCAATATTTTGAAAACCACATGTGCATTTTGGTCAGCATTACCATGTTTTATAATAAAGATTCTGACCGGGCATAATATGAAAACAGCTAGGCCAAGTAACATGCTTGAGAACAGACGGAATTGGAAAAGTTAGGGAATTCATATTGTTGTAAAGTGTCGTGGCGAAAAAGTGGATGGACAGGATTCTTGAATTGGTCTTACCAGAAAAATAAAAAAATGAAAAATGAGCATGAATGATTGATAGCTCTGTAGCTTAATCGCAACGAAAACAACATCGGATTGCCATGTAGTTGTGACTCTTGATTTGTGCAGAGAACTCCTTGACGCACTGTCCTGTGACTTAGGTTAATCCCATACTAGGCTCCACAAGGGGATATATAAATGAGGGATCATAAATTTCTAAATTATATACCATTAGGGATTATAGGCTGTGAAGCTGGACCCACTTTATACTCATCTAGGCTTGCAACCAAGGTTGGTTGCAGACTACGAGATGGCCCCAGTTAAATTGATGCAAGAGGTTGTGAACTTAAAAAAAGCTGCAGTCGTGAATCACAGTGGTGTGAATCGGTATTTTGGTGACATGCAACGGGGCTGAAGGATAAGAATAGAGGGGTGATGCCACGTCTTAACAGAAAATTGGTCGAGAATATTGACTATACTTGTCTCTGATGAGTTGTAAATCGGTGCTAAGACTAGGCTTCACAACGACGATG